AAATAGTGGAGAAAGCCGGTGATTCTGGTGGTGGGTAAGAAAAAGACAAGGGCTAGGAAAAAACGTGTTGTGAAGGGGAAGGCATGCAGATTGAATGGGATTCCTGGCAATGTCACGTGAAGGCGTTCCTTTATTTCACCAACAGTGACAAAGAGTTCTGATTTTCCCAGGACATGGTAGCTCGCAGCTCTGTCTTCTCTTTTCTCAGATACTTAAAAGCAGGGCTTGTCCGACTAGTAGATTAGAAAAGGATATGGGAACTTGTTCTCCATACTTTAAAGCAGGGGGGTGGTGGTGGAAAGCCTTGTTGTGTAGAGAAGACACAAAACCTGTTTGGTAACTTGTCATTTCAATGAAAACATGAACCTCTCACAGGTTCCCCTGAACACTCCTCCCCTTCCTCCTCCCATCTCTGCCCTGGGCTTCACAAGCAGAGGACAAGAAGGAAAACAGGACAAGAAGACTGCTGCTCATTCAGAGAACACAATTATTTGATGACAAAAGAGTAAGAACCCCAGGGAGCAGTTTAAGGGAAAAACATTTATTAAACTTGTCATGTCACAGTGATAAAATACACTCAGATGAAACACCTTCATTATGTATCTCTGCATGAAAAAAAATCACCGGTTACAAGTTTTTTTAAGAGCAAATAATTTTATTTCTTTTCCTTAATAAATTGTGTTAAAAAAAATTCTCTCTGAAAGGCCAGAACCTTCACAGCTGGAGCTGTGGGAATTTAAGAGAAGACATTTATGATTTATTTTCTAAGTAAAAAATTCAATGCTAACGGTTTCCATAAGACCTCATTTATCAACTCCACTGAGTTATTCATGAAACTAGTTTCCAATGGGCATCTGACACTGAGGTGGGTGATATTTGAAAATATCAGTTGGTGCAATCCAAGGAAGGAAACAGAGACAGACTCGGGTCCTGAGCCCTCTGCTCTGTGCACCATGTGAACACCAAGTGAACATGCATGGGGCCGCTTCTCCCCAACATACCTCAGAGCAGAATGTGAAGTGGGGGGAGGTGGAAAAGGTCAAAATTCTACCCATTTTATCAGGATAAATTTGCACACTGGGAACAAACAATCATCAAAAAGATAAGAAAGAAAAGAGAACTGGAACAAAGACTGTTACCTGGTAGCTGCAAAGTATACTGTTTACAGACGAGAGACTCATTTGGTACATACTGTCCTTAAAGGAGAATGTTTCCCCCTTCTGATTCTCAATACTAAAAGAGATTCTCAAAAAAAGGGATACTGATTTTATAACCACTTTGAAAGGGAAAACAAACACCTGGGCACTTAAAATTTATCTGTCTTATCATAATCATATTAATTTTAAAGACCATAATTCAAAGCAAAATGTCATCTCACTTTATGGCAAGAAAACTGCAGTCCCTTAGCAAGCTGATTTTGTTAGCACAAAACATATACACAGACATACAGGCTAGTCCAATACTTTATACAGTACAGATGACTTCAACTACTCGAGTTTTATGCACACAAAGTGGCCAGAGTAACAGTCAGTATAACTATGAATAAATAGAAGAAATTATAAATAAGAGATATGACCATTTAAAAGAAAGTAATTGAGAATATAATAAGTAATACAAAACAAAACTGCTTATACTTAAGGTAAAACTCTTAAATATATCTTCCAAGAGATACTATTATGAAAACAAATATACTAATATTTCACATTTCCCCTGCTCTCAAGGGAAAATAGAATAAAAGAAATAATCTTTTTATGTAATCATATGTAAAAGGTATTTAAAATATTGGCCATAGCAAGACCCTCTATTATTAAACACTGTGTGTTGCATTTCACTTTATAAACAGGAAATACAGCCCTCATAAACCCTCTAAAGAAATCCAACATAAACAGGAGAAGTAATTACCTTTAAAAGTTGTAAAATTAAAGCACTTATTTCAATTAAGAATCTGTAAGATAATTTCATGAAAAGAGCTGGATGGGGCACTAAATACTGTTGTTTTAAGGGGAAAATTACAATAATTTTATGTAATATATGAGACAAGCTGAATACTATGAAAAATGCCCACCATGGCCATAGAAAAGTTTGAATTTAAGTCATATTCAAAAGGAAAGAAACCGATTTCGTTACAGTAATGTGGAACACATTATAATAACAACAAAAGGGCGTGACTTCTAAGTGGAGCCCTTCCCAAGCTATTTTTAGAGGTTTAAAACTACAGCCCTAAATAGTTTTGATAATGCTTGTGGTTACAACTCAGCATGTGAGACATAGTTCGGGAGAAAACCAGTTCTTTTTATACTGAGTAACCTAGTTCCATGTAGTAGATTTTGCTCCCCTCTTACCCCCCTCCAGTCCTCTCCTTCTGTTTCTTAAATTAATCCCAAGATTTTATTCAGGGAACATGATCAGTTAGGGAGAAGAGCTTTTGTTTCTTCCTGATAAGTAGCTGCCCTTGAACATGCAAAACTAAAATCAGGTGGTAAATCATAAGAAATGAACCTTTAAAAACATTCTTCATTAAAAAAAAAAAAAAGAATAAATTCCACATCTCACTCCATACACAAAAACCAACTCAAAATGGATCATGGACCTAGGACTAAAACCAAGGACTATAAACTTCATTCAATAAAAGCTTAGAAGAACTCTAGAGGTCCTAATCCATAACATAAACAGCCTTCCAAGCAAGCATCCTGAAAAATCTACAACCAGGAGAGGATAAAATAGATGAATGGGACCTTTTAAGAATCAAATCTCTATGGACATCCAGAAACTTCTCCAACAAGGTAAAAAGAGAAGCCACAGATTGGAAAAAATAATGACATGTCAGATAAGGGACTTATATCTAGAATTTATAAAATACTTGAGTACCACAACAAGATAAAGGTAAATAACCCAATTGAAAAATGGGCACAGGATATGAACACCTCACCAAAGAAGACATTCAGATGGCAAACAAGCACATGAAGAAATGTTCAAAATCCCTAGCTCTAAGAGAAATACAAATCAAAACAATTATGAGATATCATCAACTCACCCCAGTAAGAACAGCAAAATTTAACAAAGCAGCAAACATCAAATGCTGGCGAGGTTGTGGGGAAACTGGAACCCTTATTCACTGTTGGTGGGAGTGTAAAATGGTGCAACCACTACAGAAGGCTATATGACGCTTTCTCAAAAAGTTGCAAATAGATATATCATCTGACCCAGCAATTCCACTACTGGGAATATACCCCAAAGAGACCATAACTGACATCCAAGCAGATATATGTACACCCATGTTCATTGTGACTTTGTTCATACTAGCAAAGAGTTGGAAACAACCTAAGTGCCCATCAACAAATGAATGGATAGAGAAGCTCTGGCATATTCACACAAAGGAATACTATGCTGCAGTGAAAACCAAAGAACTTATGAAATATAATTCAAAATGGATGACCCTGGAGGACATAATGCTGAGTGAAATATCTGTCACAAGAGGACAAATACTGCATAGTGCCAATGTTGTAAAATGGGACTAACATCAGGGTTGAGGGGAGACTGAAAAAGAGGGGACAAATAATGTATACTGCATTGAAACAGATGAGGGAGAGAACTGTTTAAAAGTGATATATGATTAGGTAATATTATCATGACAGGAGTCCAGAATGAAGGCTGCATAGTGGAGGAGTGAACTTACGGGGAGGGATTGTATAACAATGAAGGAATTTTTCTTTTAATTTTCAAAGAGAAGAATGAATGGGGGGAGGGGTAGGCAGGGAGAAAAATGCTATAATCAATGAGTGGAAACCCAAAGTCTCTGTAAATGTTCATTAAAATTAATTTTTAAAAAATCCCAAAGCCAACCCCCCTCCCCCCCAAAAAGGAATAATTGTGCTTACTTGGAAGAAGAATACATTGTGGAGGGAGAACTACTTTTGTTCCACTTGAAATAGTACAGAGATGTGTTCTTACAACAGTTTCTCATCCATTACAATGCTTAGGTTGGCTGTGATGTACTCAAGAGAACTGAATATATTTCTATTCTGTAGGACTTTGAATGTGTTCACACTCATACCAGTACATTCATAAAAACAATACCTATACGTTCACACGTTAACAAACACATATTTAAAACATGTAACATGTATAAATGTATACACATAAGTATATATGTATCTCTCTAGGTACACACACATATAACACATTCATACACATATCTTCTAGCACACAGACCATATAATCGAAGAATCATGCCTGCTTAAAATTACCATCTTTTCCAAAACCAACCTTTCTATTTCACTCAAAATTATAGTATGTTAAAGGTTTCATTTCAATTGAAAAACAAACTGAGCTAAAACCAAAAGATATAGCTGGGCTCAAGTACCATCCTCCATCCTTCAAAAACAAACAAAAACTTAATTTAAGACACTATAAAAATTTAACAAGCATTTCTTTTATTTTCTTAGAAAAGTGGGGGGAAATATTTCTTAGAGAACTACACATCAGAAATCTAAATGGGCTTTCATGTCATGTACTTGGAATAAGAGGCTGGATTCAAGAATCTCTCAACTGCTGTCCTTCCAAATCCAAAAACCACATGGCATTCTTTTACGGATCCTGAATACCTAGAGGTTTTAAAGGTTATTCTCTCTGAGTTCTTGGAACAAGGCAGACTACAAGATACAGGGCTCCCTGCCTGGAATGAGGGATGGGTGGGCAGCAGAACTGACTAGTCTTTATTCACTTAGCCCAGACCACTGAGTTCTGGCACCTCTCATCTCTAATCCTGAACATGGCACAGTAGTTGGGAAGGCTGTTACTGATCTTTAACCATGTAAGTCCACTTTATGCCAAACAGCTCCTGGATTCACTGGATGAGACAATTCCTGTATTTATGCTATGATTTCATTTCACCTCTCTTTTTAAAGTGAGAGGGTAAAGAAGGGAAAGTTCGATTTTAGCTGTTTGGACTGACTCGGGCAGCAATCTTGCCTCCCGTAGCCTCCCGCATACGTTCTCCATCATAAGTTCTCCTTCAGGAGGCCGAGCTTCCTTAGCGCCTCTCGGCGAGCTTCTTCTGTGGAGCCTCGGCCGGAGAACTGCACAGTGATGCCCTGGGGTCTGAAGCCCACCACTCTGGGGAGAGAACCTGACCGCTTCTTAACCTCCTGGCTACAGCCTGGTGGCCGGTGCTCGTAATAGCTCTTGACGGCATTCTGGCGGGCAAGTTTATTACTCAGAGCAGGGTCTGGGCGGATGGTGATAGTCTTTCCAGTAGAGACAAAGGGGCTGGGCTCACTCTTTAGGACATCATGGATGCTCTGGAAGCCATTGGCCAAGGCTGGGGACGGTTCTGTCTGCACGGCTTTGGATCTCTGGCTACTGGGCTGCCCTCCTGTCCCCGGGCAGACAGCTTCCTTGGCAGGACTTGGCTTACTGTGGTCATGGGCCACCCGCTCCGGAGAGAAGCTCCTCCTCTGCTCAGTGAGGTCGCTCTTTGGTGATCTATCTTCCATTTCACCCATAGTGAGAAAAGAGACACCATTAATGTTGGCTAAGACCTGGGCTTTCCGCTCTTGTACGTTGACAGCTGCTTTGGAGATGGTCTTATTGAATTCCTTTCCCGAACTGTTGGTCACACTGATGTTGCTGGGGAAGCGGTGGATCTTGGGTGCTGGCTGTATCACATGTCTGTACCACAGGAAGTGATCTCTGTTTCGAGGGGACAAAGAAGATGGTGTTCTCCATTCTCCAGGCCTGCCGTCCTTCGAGGGGGACGTGGGAGAAAGTGCCTCATTTCCTGCCAACTTCTCAGAAATTTTCTGAGCAATAACAAGTGGAGTGGGGACCGAGCGGGGTAGTTTTGGGTGCTCTGCTGGAGGAGAGGGGGACAGCAGCTCTTTCCTGGGGTGGGCTGGACTTGAGTTGACAGAAGAGGAAGGTGACAGAGGAAGGGTCTCTGGAATTGTGGAGCCTGGTGGTGAAGTCTCAGCATTTTGCTTCCTGCATTCCAAGACAGGAATGTCTTCCTTTTTGACAGGTTCGGCCTCTGAAGGATGAGAAAGAATTATTAAGATACCAGCCAAAGTAAAAGGCATCAGGTATCTTTACCATTAAAGTGAAACAGGTCTCAAAAAGGGACTTACTATCAATTTCAACAGCTCCTCCTATAATCAAAACTATGTCTCTATCCTTGTTCCCTGGAAAAGTCACAGAGAATGGAGTGCATTACCTGAATAATTTGGTGAGGGAGAAGAAATAAGGGATATTTTGTGAAAGACTTGGAAAGTCAGAAATTGTCAGCACTTATACATATTGTGCAAACAGGCTTCCAAGGATCCATCATGCTGAGATAAACAGAATCTTACCTCATCAGGAAATTTTACAAAGGGGGAAACAGAGGCTGGGAAGTTAGGTGGCACATTCCAACAACTCCATCATGGAGGATCTAGATGAGTCACCTTTCTCTGTGAAACAGAACTATTTCCCAACTGCCTCGGTTGAATTTAATATGCCTGCCATGGAGCCTTTACAAAGTGTTCTCGCTCTCTCATTGCCATCATATGGGTTCCAACACATAGATGATCCTCCAGTAGCTGAGGCTGTAAATCAGACAGGAAGAGACTCATCCATCTTTGTCCTCATGAATGGCTGATGGATCCAAAGAGGGTGGCTAGAGAGGTGTGGCCCTTGGGTTAGCAGTGCGACTTCCCATAGACCATGCCACCAGAGCCTTCTTAGTGTAGCTTTACCAGGTATCTCTCAAAGATCACCTAACACTCTCCTGTGCTTATATTTATACACCATTGTCCCACTACAAAACCGTACACTATGTCTGTCTGTCTTTCTCTCCCTCTCTCCTTCCCTCTCTCTCTCTCCAGAATCTCACACAATGCCTACCATGAAGTAGGTACTTAAAAACCTGTTATGAAAGTATCAGGCCATGTGGGAGTGGCTTGTTTTCAAAAAAGTGTTTACACTTACATGATTGTGATCTGACATTTTAAAAGGATACTTTGGTTCAAATGAATATTAGGAACTATTTACTTCAAAGCAGAAAAATGAAAACAGAAATTCACATTAGGGCTCTTCTTTGAAGAGTTGGCTGAAAAGAAAGCCCCATTTTGGGGTACATACAACATGTAACAGTCTGAGTAACATATAAAACATATCTTAACAAGCATATACATGCATTTTTCTAGAGGCTTATTATAAATAGCAATATTTTGTAGTTACTAAAGCAATTGCATTTTCCCCTTTCATTTTTATTTCATACTTTCCAATTCTCATTCTCTTGTCCACATTTATTTTCAGCCATCCTTTTTCAATCATGACAAAACTCAGAAGAAACTTTTCTCTTTGTCTATCTCTTTCTGGGTCTCCACAGAAACCTCTCTCTCTTTTCATTCATTGCTATTAAACAGGATGCAGCTCATAACTGACTCTCTAATGGGAAAGGAAGTACATTTCTCCTCTGAGGGAGCTTGGTGGCCTAGGCATAAGGAATTGCACTGCAAACCCAAAGGTAGGTAGCTTGAATCCACTAGCTACTCTGCAAGAGAAAGGAGGGCTCCTGTGTGATTTACTACATGTAAAAACCTGCTAGAGAGTCAGCTATGAGTCAGTTCTGACTTGATGGCACCCAACGAGTGCAGCAAAACATAAAAAAGCAGATGCTGAACAAATTTTTGTAACCTTCCAGTCATAAATGAGTTTTCAGTTCATTTATTTCCACTTTAGAAAAGCATGCTACAGAAATGGGCTCTAGTCTTACACAAGAATTTAGGTTAAAGCTTACAGGCTAAACTGTGAGTATCTCTGATTTTCTTTGTAAGACAGAATGGTTACCTGGACATTTTCCCCCCTTCTTTTTAAAATATACACTGTATTTGTATCCCCTACTCGCCTCATTTTTAAACCTAGTTCTTTTGAAAATTCCCTTTATGACTTTTCTTCCTAGGGAACTATTTAAGAATCTCTTTGGCTAGACAATCAAACTTCCAAAAGATTACTTCTACCTACATAAATCAGATAAGCCTCAACAGCTTCTATAAAGGCAAATATAACCCATCCATTCACAGACCTGTGCACTTCGCTCCTTCCTGGTCTACCATCTGAGTCGCATCTGGAGGGCACTCAGGTTCCCCAGCTGCAGGTTCTGGATGCACTAAATCAATGACATCTTCTGGCTCAGAATGACTGGACGTGCTTTCTTCCAGAGATTTTGGAGAGTGGCAGTGTATACCACTATCACACAGCCCTTGTTCCTCAAAGTCCTCTTCAAACAGGGAATCAATAGTTTCTTCAAAAAATAGGATGACATCTTTTTCCTCATGTGTGAGGTGCTTCAGGCTCTCATCATCCTGTAAGACAGGTTTGAGGATTGAGAATGGAAGAAACGGTGGTTTTCACTGTGACTGAAATCATATAGACCCATCAAGGATGGATTAACACAAGACCCAGTGTAAAATTTAGAGCACTCTAAAATGTCCCTCTCAGTGATAGCCTGCCATTCAAGTTGCCCCTCTGGCAAACTGGTATGGAACTCACCATTTCACCTGCACAAAAAAACCAAAACCAAAAGCAAAACAACAAAGCAAAAAAAATCACCCCCCCCCAAACCCAACTGTATAAAAAATTGTAGCAAATCTTAGAATCTCATAACTGCAGTAGCCTTGGGGTTCCTAATGAGTCACTAACAGAAAAGGAATTCCTTGGAGATGGTGTTTTCAACTTGTGGATAAAAGAACTAGCAGATGCCCTGTGTTCCCTATCATCACAACGGAGAAAACTTTTGGTTAAAGATGATGGGTCAACTCACATTTTTATCTCTGATTCCAATAAGGAACCCTGTTGTTGTTGTTGTTATGTGCCGTCGAGTCACTCATAGTGACCCTATGTACAACAGCCCTAAACCCTGCTCTGTCCTGTACCAATCGCACTGACTCTGACACACCCATCCCGATTACCCCAGTCACTGAATCTCTACCCTCTCAAGCATGACTTCCCTCTCCAAGGACCTGTTCTCCTTGCAACGTGCCCAAAGTATGTCAGACGAAGCCCCAGAATCCTTGCTTCCAAGGAGTAGCCTGGTTTAATCCTCTCCAGGATGAATCTGTTTGTTCTCTTGGTAGTCCATGGTACATTCAATACTCTTCTCCAGCACCATAGCTCAAAGGCATCAATTCTCCTTCTGTCCTCCCTAGTCATTGTCCAACTCTCTGATGCATAACAAGTTATTGCAAAGACCATGGCCTGTATCAGGCACACCTTAGTTTCCAGAGAGACACCGTTGCTCTTCTCTTGAGTACTTTAGAGAGGTCCCTAATATCAGACTTTCCCATCGCAATAAGTTTTTTGATTTCCTGGCTGCTGGTGCCAAGAGTGTTGACTGTGGAGCTGAGCAAACTGAAGCTGTGAACAATCTCAGTCTCTTCGCCATCCATCCTGATGTTACCGATTGGTCCAATGGTGAGAATCTTTGTCTTCTTGACACTGAGCCTCAGTCCGTACTGAAGGCTGCAGTCCTTGACCCTCTGTAGCAAGTGCATGAGGTCCTCCTCAGTTTCAGCAAGCAGGGTTGTGTCATCTGCGTAACGCAGATTGTTAATAGATCTTCCACCAATCCTGATGCCACACTTCTCCTCATAGAGCCTAGCCTCCCAGATAATCTGCTCTGCATACAGGTTGAAAAGGTATGGAGATAGGACACATTCCTGGCATACACCCTTCCCAATTTTGAACCATGCAGTGTTACCCTGCTCTGTTCTGACTACTGCCTCTTGGTCCAAGTATAGGTTTTGCATTAGCACGATTAAATGTTCTGGGATTCCCATTCTTCTCAGAGTCAGCCACAGTTTGTTATGATCCACACAGGCAAACGTCTTTGCATAATCAAGGAAACACAGATAAACATTCTTCTGGTATTTCATGCTTTCAGCTAAGATCCATCTAACATCAGCTACAATATCCCTAGTACCACGACCCCTTCTAAACCCAGCCTGGACTTCTGACAATTCTCTGCTGATGTACTGTTCCAGTCATTTTTGGATAATCTTCAGTAGAATCTTGCTTGCATGTGAAATCAATGATATTGTTCTGTAGTTTCCATACTCAGTTGGGTCACCCTTCTTTGGAATGGGAACAAATATAGAACCCTATTAAAACAATAAAAAAATTCATCCTCCCTCTCAAATAAAAGCATAGATTAAAAAGACCAGTGAAAAAGGAAATGTAATGACAGAAACAAAATTTGGAAGTGAGAGGTTGGGCAGATGGTTACTGACTTAGAAGGCCCAAGAAAGTTGAATTCTAAATGAGCAGTTTGGTAAAGTCAAGTATCAAGCTATGGACTCTAAACCCCCTCCCACTGAGTCAATTTTGATTGACAGCAGTCATGTAGTACTTGCCCCTATGTAGGGTTTCCAAGGCTGTAAATCTTTACAGAAGCTGACTGAGTCATCTTTCTCCTGTGGAGATGCCAGTAGATTCAAACCACTCACCTTTGGGTTAGCAGCCTATTTCTTTATGCCACTAGGACTCTACTATGGACTGCAGAACTTGCCAACATTCAGAAATCTGTGCTACTCACACAATACCTCGGGAAGTATGAGGAAAGTGACACTGAAAACAGTAGGAATGACTGAAAGCTTATCAGAAGCAATTAGACACCTAGCATAGAAAGTAGATAATTATTCCTAACGAAGGTAAAAAGAAACTGAATGAGACTGGGATAGCAAGCAGAGTTGAAAACAGGAGTAAATAAAGCCAGTTAATGATCTGAGACAGAACATAGAGTAAGAGTCTTCTCTGGGTGGTTGGAATGGGTCAAGGAGTCAAAATGAGTGACATCCAGTGTTCTCCAATGTAACAACAGCTCAGCAAGATTATAAGTGAAAACAACAGTCAACAAATCACAGCATAAAATTTTACTCAGTTTCTCAATGCATATCTCTTAAATGTGTGCAGACAGTGGATGATCACAATGTATCTCATGAGAACCTCACTGATGTTGAGTTGGAACTGACTCATAGCTGATCCTTCAGTGGATTTTCAGAAGTTGTAAACTGCACAGGAGGAGAGTATCTGTTGAGTCACCTGTGACTCATAGTGATCCTATGTACAGCAGCTCTGAAGCCTGCCCTGTCCTGAGCCAGTCTCACTGACTCCTACCCCTATTGTAACCCCAGTCTAGTCTAGGAGGGCCAATATTTGAATAATGAGAATTCCAGGAAGGGAAACCAATAAAAATAGAGGATAATCAGTAATCAAAATATGCAAACAATATTATAAAAAAGAAGATACTCCACTAAAAGGGCAGGAGTTTCCAGATTGAAAGGGTGCAATTCTGTACAACATAATGAACAAAAATAAAGTAGACATGTATCAAAGCACATGGTGAAATTTTATTACACTCAGGAACAGAAAAAGTCCTGAATGCTTCGCAGAGTGAAAAGACAGGTTACATACAAAAGATCAGGAATCAGAACAGCCAACAATTTTCAACAGAAACACTGGAAACCAGACGACAATAGAGTAATGCCTTCAAAAGTGTGAATGAACTATGAATTAGAGTTCTAAACACAAAGTATTCGTTAAGAATAAAAACTCACTGTAATTTAACCGACTGATTCCCAGCAGCCCTGCAGAACTGAGCAGACATTCTCTATAGGGTTTCCAGCTGTCAATCTTTACTGACACAAACTGCCTTTTTTTTTCTGTGGAGCCATTTTTTTCTGTGGAGCCATTGATAGATTTGAGCTGCTGATGTTTTGGTTAACAGCCAGACATCTCAGGCACTATGCACCACCAAAGTTCCTTCCATATTAACTAGAATTCAGTTGTTGTTAGGTGTCGTTGAGTCATAGAGGACTCATAGTGACCCTATGAACAAAAGACCTGAACACTTGTATAAATTTCTTTGTTTCTCCCAGTTCATAGGGTTTCCGGAGGCAAGTTATTTTGGAAGTGGATGCCACTCCTGCTTCCAAGCTTGTTTTAACTGGGGATCTCCACCAAACACTGTCCACCATGGATAACCATTATCACATTTGACACATCAGTGTCACAGTGTTTAGCATCACAGCAAGCAAGAGTTACCCAAAAGCCTTTTTAATTAAGTAGGAGGCTGAACCGGAAAACAAACCTCTGTAGAATCCAGCTGCTCCAGATGACTTCCCAACCTGGATCCCCAGAACTCTGTAATTGTATCAATTTACTCTTCTAGCAGTTGTATTATCCAGAGAATTGAATTTCAATGTTTCCTTTAATAAGAGGGCATGAGGGGACATTTGAAATTAGAAGATAGGACAAGGCAAAACAGATGAAAAGAACAAAAACAAAACCTTAAAAGCACTGTCATCAATTGATTCTGACTCAGTGAACTTACAGGACAAAGCAGAACTGCTCCACAAAAATTTTAAGTCTGAGTAGCACATCTTTACTGAAGCAGACTTTTACAACTTTTTCTTGCAGAAAAGCTGGTGGGTTTAACTTTAACTCCAGCAACAGTAAGGCTCCTAAACAGAGGCAAGTATTTAATACTTCTTTTATTTGGCACTGGACTAATTTAAGGGGGAGGGGACCAATATTGTAATTGTTGTTACAATTGTTGTTGAGTACAACTCTTAGTGACCCTATAAATAGCCAATCTGAACCCTGCCCTACCCTGTGCCATCCTCATCTCTGATACACTTGAATCCAATGCTACAGTCACTGTGTCAATTCATCTTCCCTCATTTGTTAACCCTCCACCTTTCCAAGCATGATATTACTTTTCAAGGAATAGCTTCTCCTAGGAACATGCCCAAAGTATGTGAAATGAAGCTTTGCCATCCTTGCTCCCAAAAAACATTCTGGCTGCACTTTTTCTAAGACGTATCTGTTTGTTCTTCTGACCATCCCTGGACTATTCAGTACTCTTCTCTAACACCACAGTACCAAGGCATCAATTCTTCTTCTGTTATCCTTATTCACTGTCCAGCCCTCAGATGCACAGCAAGTGATTTGAAAAGACCATGGCCTGGATCAGACACATTTTAGTCTTCAAACTAACATCATTGCTCCTCGGTACTTTGGAGAGGTCCCTGATAGCATAGTTGCCCAGTGCAATATGTGTCCTGATCTCCTAACTGCTAACCCAAATAAGATGAAATCATCGAAAACTTCAATCTTTTCTCCATCTGCCATGTTGTTACTTATCAGTCCAGTGGTAAGGACTTCTGTCTTTATGCTGAGATGCAATCCATATATTGAAAGTTGTAGGCTTTGATCTTTTGCAGCCAGTATTTCAAATCTTCCTCATTGTCAGCAAGTAAGGTTCTACCATGTGCATAAGGCAGGTTAATAATTTTATTGTAATTAT